ACGGGTACTTTTTTTTCACTTTTCTTGTGATTGTTGGAGTTAAAGGTGAAAAAAGGAAGCTTAGCACATGTCAAAACATGGTTTGGAAGGCGTTTCTGTTGTTTGGTGATTTACGCTAATCTTCACAATTTTCCATGTATATGAATCACAATGGCTCCGGCGGGTAACTTTTTCACTTTTCTTCTAGTTGCTGGAAATACTTGTGAGATAAGGAAGCTTAGCACATGTCAAAACATGGTTTGGAAGGCGTTTCTGTTGTTTGGTGATTTATGCTAATCTTCACAATTTGCCATGTATAACTGTATATGCATCAAAATGGCTCCGACGGAAACCGTTTCACTTTTCTTGTGAGTCTTGGAATTCAAGTTGAAAAAAAGAAGCTTGGAACATGACAAAACATGGTTTGGAAGGCGTTTCTGTTGTCTGGTGATTTATGCTAATCTTCACAATTTGCCGTGTATATGCATCAAAATGGCTCCGACGGAAATCGTTTCATTTTTCTTGTGAGTCTTGAAATTAAAGTTGAAAACAGGAAGCTGAGAACATGTCAAAACATGGTTTGGAAGGCGTTTCTGTTGTTTGGTGATTTATGCTAATCTTATCTAATCTTCACAATTTGCCATGTATATGCATCGAAATGGCTCCGGCGGGTACTTTTCTTTCTTGTTTTCTAGTTGCTGGAATTAAAGTTGAAAAAAGGAAGCTTAGAACATGTCAAAACATGGTTTGGAAGGCGTTTCTGTTGTTTGGTGATATACGCTAATCTTCACAATTTGCCGTGTACATGCATCAAAATGGCTCCGACGGAAATCGTTTTATTTTTCTTGTGAGTCTTGAAATTAAAGTTGAAAAAAGCAAGCTTAGAACATGTCAAAACATGGTTTGGAAGGCGTTTCTGTTGTTTGGTGATTTTTGCTAATCTTATCTAATCTTCACAATTTGCCATGTATATGCATCGAAATGGCTCCGACGGGTACTTTTCTTTCTTGTTTTCTAGTTGCTGGAATTAAAGTTGAAAAAAGGAAGCTTAGCACATGTCAAAACATGGTTTGGAAGGCGTTTCTGTTGTTTGGTGATTTACGCTAATCTTCACAATTTGCCATGTATATGCATCCAAATGGCACCGACGGGAACTTTTTTCATTTTTCTTGTGATTAGAACATGGCAAAACATTTTTTGGAAGGTGTTTTTGTTGTTTGGTGATTTATGCTAATCTTCACAAAATGCCAGAATTCTTCATGCATGGAAAGAACAAACAGACTTGGGAAAAAGGATGAAAAAGGACGACAAGTGCGAGAAAACAAAATTGGGCCGAATCTTGGAAATCGGGAAAATTGATGAAAAAGTGCCACAACAGCGAGAAAACCAAATTCTGGCCGAATGTCGGAAATCGGGAAAATTGATGAAAAAGTGCGACAACAGCGAGAAAACAAAATTGGAGCCAAAATACATAGTTTTTTGCCGGAGGCGATATTCTAAGATTACACATATGGCGATATTCTAAATTTTGGGTAAAAAATTTGGAACATTTGGCTATATTCTAAGTTTCGGCCCGTTACTATAAATATAAATATAAATATACATACAAATAAAAATATATATACATATAATAATCATCGAAGAAATTGTGGTGAAATTATCTTGTGGCTTGCTCTTCTAAACATTTCTCTAAGGTTTCTCCAAGTTTTGTTGTTTTTGATGGCACCCGTCGCATTCCCCAGCCATGCCGAAACTTCCTTATGTGTATGCATGCATGCATGTATGTATGTGTGGATGTATGTATGGATGTATGTATAGATATATGGATGGAAAAATTACAAATCAAAAAGTTTGGAGTGAAATATGTACACAACTTGGGATGCTTCGCTGCAAGATTTATGTGGTCGTATTCCTTGGGGAACCTAACACTTAGAACCTTTGCTTGTTTAACACTATAAACTCTGCTGGTTTGGCCCTGTATTTTCGGAACATCAAACTGGTGTTGCTTTCTGCTGGTTTTGATGCAGGGGATCACGACCTTCGAGCTACACTCCGGGGTTACACAGCAGGGAAACCATAACGGGGCGCCCCCTTGCTCAGTGCCTGGGGGGACCTCAAAGGGGTTACACACCGGGAGACCACAACCGGAAAATGAGAAATGGTGGGTAAATGTTTTGGAAAGCTTTGGAATAGAAAAAGGTTTGGCATCTTTGATAAAGTTGGAAATATTGCAACATCAATACCATTCAATTTCAAAATTGCAATACCAGAAAAAATGATAGATAATGTATGAACATAAATTATGGTTTAATATGGTTTACTTTTCAACGAGTCGTTTGCAGTAACCTTGTAGTAACCCACTGTCTTGACATGCGCAAGGTTGAAAAACTACCCCTGCTTGCGCCATCGTCTTGACAGCGATGCAGCCCCCCTTTCACGGTCTGCAGTTTAGACTTTGAAACTTAGTATAAATGCGTCCCGTAAGTTTTTTTTTTGCAATTTCTTTTGGTCTCAGAACTTGGATGAAAAACATGAAATTGGTTCAGATCTTGCTTTGAACACTGGCAGGGATTCATTTTGGATTGATTGAAGTCTCGAAAGAAACTTTAGTTTTGGAATTGAACTTTTTGTTTTTTTCAAAAAATCAAAAATCCAGAATTCCATGCATGGAAGAAACACTTAGAACCTCTGATACTTGATGCTGCCAGAAAAGAGGGCCAAGCAAGCAGAGGTTCTAAGTTCTAAGTGCTAGCTTCCCCAAGGAATACGGCAACATATCTTGCAGTGCAACATCCCACATGCACATATGCACACACGCGCACATGATATATTGATATATATATATATATTTATATTTATCGAAGGAAGTTTAGAAGTCAAACTTCCGACAATATGGACAAATGAAAAGCAGAGGTGGGAAGAGTCAGACAAGAGAAGAGAAGAAGAAAGAATATCAAAAAAGACAAAGTCTCAGAAGAAAGAAGATCCAGGTGCGCGAAAAGGTAGGAAAGTCGCGAGACACTGTGTTTTGCCAATGATTTGTGGCTCCGGAGGGTCAAAAAGTAGGCTCGCTAAAGCGGCGGGTGCGGAGCCAGCTGATGACAAATTGCACGCCGTTGTGGCGCGAAGCACATTTCGAAGTCAAAATGTACAAAGCACACCAGGTTCGGACCACTCTTGGAAGTTGAGATGTCGAAAAAGTGCACGCCGTTGTGGCGCGAAGCACATTTCGAAGTCAAAATATACAAAGCACACCAGGTTCGGACCACTTTTGGAAGTTGAGCTGTCGAAAAAGTGCACGCCGTTGTGGCGCGAAGCACATTTCCAAGTCAAAATGTACAAAGCACACCACGTTCGGACCACTTTTGGAAGTTGAGATGTCGAAAAAGTGCACACCGTTGTGGCGCGAAGCACATTTCCAAGGCAAAATGTGCAAAACACTAGGGGTTCGGACCACTTTTGGAAGTTGCGATGTCGAAAAAGTGCACGCCGTTGTGGCGCGAAGCACATTTTGAAGTCAAAATGTTAAAAACACCAGGGGTTCGGACCACTTTTGGACGTTCAGATGTCGTTTCGCGTGGCAGGCGCAAGGGATTGTGCACCTTGTCAAAAGTGAGCAACACGTGAGGGTTTTGTAGTATTTTCAACTACAACCACCACTACACTCCACCACACTACACTACAACTACAACTACAACTGCAACTACACTACATTATATTACACTACGCTAATTACATTACACTAAGCTACACTACATTACACTAACTACAATTACAACTACAACTACAACTAGAACTACAACTACATAAGACTACACTACACTACACTACACTACACTAAACTAATTACATTACGCTGCGCTACACTACACTACACCCCACTCCACTACACTACACCTCACTACGCTGCACTCCACTACTTTACACTACACTCAATTACACTACACTCAATTACACTACACTCAACTACACTACACTACACGACACCACACCACACCACACCACACCACACCACACCACACCACACCACACCACACCACACCACACTACACTACACTACACTACACTACACTACACTACACTCAATTAAATTACACTACGCTACACTACCCTACCCTACACTACAATACATTATATTACATTACATTACCTTACACTACAGTCTTTACACCACCACAAATGCAACTGCAACTACACTAAACTAATTACACTACACCACAACTACAGCTCCACTACACTACTACAACTACAGCTGCGCTACACCACACTACATCCAGCAGTTGTGGGTGAGGTGACCGACCAGGTGACCACTGCAACCATTGCAACCACTCCCAAAAACACAGCTCCAACCACCTTTCGGTCCATCAGTGGATTCGCTCTGCCATCCGTGATTCACAACAACCAATCTCTCCTATAGGTTTCCTATTTTTGAAACTTCCGCCACCGCCTTGTGCGGCACTACTGGCATCCATATTTATTTTCATCGTTATGCTATAAAAAAATATATATATTTGTTTTTATGTATGTATGTATGTATATATATATGTATTTCATGTGTTTGTTCACATATAGCGACCGACCTATATTTTGGAGCAAACATAACCCCAAAGGAGGTTCTAAGTGTTTGTTTTTTGTTTTTTACACAAATCAACACTTATAACCTGAAATTTGGGAGGTTCTAAGTGTTTGCCCCCAAAAAATGGAAAAAAGAGGTTCTAAGTGTCAGTCGGTCGCTATAAGTTGATTAACATGGCATCTGAGAATCTCAGTGATTGACCCTAATGCGTACCTTGGACATACAATACACAGTATGTTAGCAATATCTGCAATATATACAGTAATGTAAACACAAGGATGCACATCACCTGCCTTTGACTGGCATTGATGAATGTGAGTTGCAACTGTTCCCCAAGTTGTTGGGCTCGCCATTGACTGGTGCTGAAACACATGGATGAAACGCGGACCGCGGACCGCACAGTCGGAATTCGGAGTCTGGGACCCCTGCTGCATCTTGCAACCAGGCTGGAAGAGCTCTCTACTCGCATGAAGGACGGGCACAGCAAACCAGAGAAGACCAACACGATCACCAGTATGAACCAGGAGTAAAGGATAGTATAATAGTAAAGGTACGCAGAAAGGTACCCAAGTGTCAATCAAGGATCAACATGGATCAACACAACTAGACTTCTTCACAGTTTCTGGTCGATGATTTCACCCCGAATGTTTACCGAATGTTTGTCTTCACCATCAGGAGACTCGAAAAATTGAAGCTCCAGGCCAGTTGAGCTCCGCGTACTGGGTCAAGATTTCACACATTTTCACACATTTTCACAATGCCATGCTTTGCCCGGGAGAGAATTTGAGGGCTCAGTGCTTGGCTCTAACTCACTCTCACTGTGCCTGATGAATTTGCGGGTCCCCTTTGATCAAGTGGAGAAAGTGGCGACCCGGAGGGCTTCGGCAAATCTCCGATTGTATTGACATATGAAACATATTGTAACATGGAAACAGGTTGTGGAACCGATTGACAAATTTGAACTGTTGAAAGTATCCATGTGATCCATGTGCCAGGTCAAGGCTCTCGGCAATTAAAGCGCCAGGACATATTCTCCCAACATAAATGAATTTGTTACAAAGATGCTACATGGATCTACATGGCATATATGGCATGAGCAATGCCATGATATGCCATCGTTACATGGATGCACGATGATGCAAGATGATGCGCGGAAGATTACATCCAAACTGACAATGACCTCAAAGCTGGGAAGTCTTGTCCGATCTGAACGGGGTCCATGCAGGACAGCCTTTTACAAGTGCAAGACCAATGCAGCCAGCTCGGTGCTCAAAAGGGCTCAACGGGTCAATGCTAATGAGATGAGAACGTTGAGAGCTTAGAAGGACCTATAACAATGACACTGGGTGGTGAAAGGCCCGCTCATGATTGATGAACCACCGATTGAAACGACAATTTCAACTCAAGCAAAACAAGCAAAACAAGCAAAATTCGCAAAACACGCAAAACAAGCAAAAGTCGTTTAAGGTTTCACAAGTTGAATCACAAGCAAAAGAAGCTGAAAGTCTTTCTTGGTCTTCATTTTCCACCCTGCCATTTGCTGTCGTTTTTGATCGTTTTTGCCTTTGACTGGATGGCTTTGAGTTTGCTTTGCTGCGATGCTGGAAGTGTTTCAACCCGAGGCTCAGCACCCGAATGGGGAAGCTTGAGGTGTGTGATGGGCGGCTTTCATCCATTCAGAGACAGCTGACCTCACGACAATCAAAGTCTTGATTGAGGGGGATGCAAGTGCTGTGAGAACCATCTCAAAAAAACTGAGTTGTGTCATGTTGTATCATGTTGTACGGCAAGTGTTCGAATTCTGTCAGCTGATTTTGTGTACCCAACTGTAAGGTGTTCGTCTGAAAAGTCAGCAATTCGGACAGGAAATGGTGGCTGGACAAGGCAAACAGCTGATGTTGCAGGCAGGATTTGAAACGGTCAAAAGTCTCAAGAGGGCACGGTAGTAACGCTTGAAGCCGCTTGAACAGTTTGTTACACCATCTTACACCACATTATGACATTGAGAGCAACACATTAAACTCAATCGTTGACTGCGCCGCGCTTTCTTCCCCACCTCCTACTCAAACCTGCTTTCCTCCATTGGTTTCCCGCTTGCCCGACCAGGTCGTGTCGATGTTTTTTCTTTCTCAATGAAGTCCTGATTAATTATTTGCTTTGTCCTTCTTCCATACCTCCACGTTTATGCGCGCAAGCAGATGCGACATATGTGCAGAGATCTCCACAAAGTTCTTGTGCCCCCAAAAGTTTTGTGAATGCGCTCTTTGCCGTAGAGTTTGAGGCGAGAACAACCTTGTAATTTAAAACAGTCTCCGAGGCTTTTCTGATTGGAAGCCATGCTGAAGACTCCGAGGTCTCTTGGGCAAAAGCGCTTGGAAGTACTGTGCGGCGCGAAGAGAATGAAGCAGCACGAGAAGAATCTCAGAAGTCTAGAGATGGCAAGTCCCATGACAAGAGGGCACCAAGAAGATCCAAGAAGATCCAAGAAGTTCAAGATGAATGCTCCCGCAGACAAGAAAAGTCCAGAGCCCAAGAGCCAACAAAGACCCTGTGAAAAACAAAATTCACAGTCTCACCGCTATGATGCGTGTCAAACACAGGAACTACTGGGCCATAGTGCGGTGTATTGACATGAAATCGCACGTTTGTCAAAATTGGTTTGCATCATTGTCCATTCTGTAAACTCACCAACGCGCCCAGAGCTTAACATGTGACCATTGGGCTTTGATTTTGTTCGAACTCGTGACGTGCTGAACGTGCTGTGTTGCAATGTCGCAGACAGTTTGACCCCGCTTTTTACAGGCAGACGAACAACGAGAGGTCCACCAGCGTCTATTAGAGGCACTCCGAGGGCCAGGTGAAAGTTGGAGCCATTTGGAGCCTGAGGCGACGGTCACGATAGGTCCAGACAACACTTGATGCGGCAGGTCCTGCCAACTCATCCATAGATTGAACACAGCAAATTAACATGCATTGCATACATATGATATAACATATAATATAAGATATAATCAATGATATAATATAACCTAATATAATTATATAATATACAACATAATATGAAATTTAATATACAATAGAATACATAATATAATATAATATAATATAATATAAATAATGAATTACAATATAGAATATAATATAATATAGTTTAATATAATACAATAAAATATACCATAATTTAATACACCATACAATATTTAATATAATATATAGTATAAAATTTAATATAATACATAACATCATATAATATAATATAACATAATATAATACAATAAAATATAAATAATGAAATACACTATATAATAAGTAATTTATTATCATACAATATTTAATATATAATACAAAATGTAGTATAACATACCATTTAATACATAATATAATATAATATAATATCTAATATAATAAAACATAATATAATATAATATAATAAAATATAATATAATTAATGAAATTCATAATATAATAGAATATAATATAATATAATATAATATAATATTTTTTTTTTATTAAATATCATATTTTTTTTTAATATAAGAGAATATTTTATATTTAATATACCATATAGTATAAACTATAATATAATACAACATATAACATAATGTATATTTATTTTTTCTATATAATAGGATATGATATGAAATAATTTAATAGGATATGATATAATATAATACAATATAATATACTATAATATTATATAAAATAAAATCATATAATATAATATAATATAATTTAATATATAAGATGAACATAGTATAATATAATATAATATAATTTAATATATAATATATAATATAATATAATAGGATATGATTTAAAATAATATAAAAGGATATGATATAATATAATACAATATCATAAGATAATATATAATATCATATGATATTTTATATTTTATATCATATATATAGCGACGGACAAACACTTAGAACATCATTTGGAAAAAAATCTGAAAATCGTCACAGCGGGGATGTTCTAAGTATGGGTTTCAAAAAAAGTAGTTAGAACATACCCAAAACCTATACTTAGAACATTTCCAAGCTATACTTAGAACATCCCAGTGGGGAACCAATGGGAACCATACAAATTACTAGAGACCTTCCCATTGCAGCGAAGACTGCTTGGAATATTGTTCCCGAAGAAAAGGCATAGAATGCTGCAGCAGTGAGGGGAGAAAGTGTTCTAAGTATGGTGTTCACCAAGGTATTTGTGTGTATATATGCAGATTTACCAAAGTAACAGGACATGTTCTAAGTATATGTGTGTTTTAATGTTCTAAGTATGCAAAAATCAATGGAGATGTTCGAAGTATCTGTTTTTCTGATGTTTTAAGTGCGTACTTAGAAAAAATTCTGATGTTCTAAGTATGGTAATTTTGATGTTCTAAGAGGAGGTTTCGAAATTTTGGAAAATTTGATGCTCTAAGTATAAGTCCGTCGCAATATAAAATAAAATAAAATATTTAATACACTATACAATACAATTTAATATAGTATATAATATATAATATAATATATTTAATATGTATAATATCTATTTTATTTTATATAATACATAATTTAGTATAATATACAATGTATATATATATATATAAATATAATATTTGATATAATATAATATATGATATATAATATATAGTATATAGTATTTAATATATGATATATAATATAAAAAATTAGAAATAATTTATTATATGATATATTATATAGAAATTATTAATATATAATATAAAATATAATATATATAATTCAAAATGTATAATATATAATATATTTTATATAATATAAAATATATTATATATAATGTAAAAATGTAGTATAGTAAATATAGTAAAATAGATAATTTATATAATATTCAATATAATAAATAATATAATATTCAATATAATATTTAATATAATATATGTTTTTTAAATATAATATAAAAAAAGATCTATTTTAATATTTAATTTAATAAATGAAATAATATATAATATAATGTATTTTATTATATTTAATATAATATTTAATATAAGAAGTAATATAAAATAATATAATATAATATAATATATTATAATATAATATAATATATTATAGTATAATATAATATAATATAAGATAATATGATATTATATAATATATATGATATAATATGTAATTCATTTTTAATATAATATTTGATTTAATATATAATATATTATATATTATATAACATATATGTATATACGTAGATATATTATATCATTTTATTTCATATCAATGTATATAGTATATAATTACTCTGTGTCTTAGTGTTCGACATTCTCAAAAGCCAATCAGGGAATCAGGGCGGGTTATTGGACGCTCGAGGTGCGCAAAGAGGCTTTGGAAGGTCTGACACAACTGGCAAGTCTCCAGGCCGGGAGTGACCCAAAGCTTGACAGACGACAGCAATTTCTGAAATCCATTGAGTAGCAATGAGTAGCACTTGTTTTTTTTCTGTGATGATTTTTTTTTTTCAGAGTTTTTTTTTGTCAGTTTGTTTCTGCTTTTCGACGCATTTCGATGCCTTCCGGTTTGCAGCTCCCAGGACGGCTTGCCTATGACACCACCTGAGCAGTATCGTGCTGTAGCAGGTGTGTGACACTCGCAGCTGGAAAACCCATTAGGTGAAAAAATGATTAAATTGTACAGTAAATTGGCATATTTGATTTTTTCCCCAAAGGGATTATAATGATTGAGGCGAAGTAATGACAGAGACATACACCCCTATTCGATCCCAATGATATTTCTAGACAAGGAGTTTGGGGCTGTTCTATCCCTGTGGTAGGCCAAGACTCACGTTCGGAACCTTAAAGATCAAGAAAACCAGCGAAGCAGTGAAACTGATGTTCCCATGCAAGATTCTCGTGCTTGCTGGCATGCTTCGGAGTATTGTGGTCGCCTGTATTTCCTCCAAGGTGTTGTGCGATCGTCTGCGCCAAGTCAAAGTCAGCTTCAGGAGACGACAGTGAAGCGTGGGGAGATGGATGGTACTGCGTCATATACCTATAGGATCCTATAGGGATACCTAGGGCATTCCAGCCCCCTCCTCTTGCAACTTGACAGATGGGTTCTTAGATGTTCTTGTTGGTTATGGACCAAACGGTGACAATTTGTGCGGTGGATCCGTAACAAACGAATGCAGAACTAGGAATCACGGAATCACGGAATCACGAACTTGAATCTGGTATATTGCCAGGCATGGCATCAGGTCGCAACTCAAAATAGAAGAAAATTAAAAGTGGCCGATGCATAAAAAACTGGATTGCATTGCTCACCAATCAGTTAGATTCGAATTTGGATACCACCATGTTTGACATCCCAACTACAATGTTAATTTGCACCAAGATACATATAGTTAATCATAGCGATCATAGTTTATCCATGTTTATCATGTATCAGAATCATATTTACATTCCGAAGGGTTGAGATGTGGCAACTTGCAACTTGAAGGAGCGACAGTGCCTCTCCATCGCACCTCAGGACCGATCAAGCAGCGATCGAGGTCTTCGCTCCTCCCCAGGTGGCCTGTGGCCCAGGTTTTAAAGATTTTTTCTTTATGTCACTTCAGATGTCACTTCAGAATCATTTTCACATATTTTCAATCTTGATATCTCTTGATCTAGGATATTCTAGGATTGTGTAGTTCATTGTAATTCAGTATCCAAATGGTTACTGAATGTAATGTAGATCTGCACAGGTCCTTGTGAAGCTGTTCACATGTCAAGCTGCGGTGCTTAATATGTGTAGTCCCTTGCGAAAAGAGCAGAACGAATATCCGTGATCCATGCGCGGTCTCATAACCAACCTCTGTGCAAGAAGGTGTTGAGTGAAAATGACTTGAAAGAAGATCAAACACAAGTATATAAGTTGAAATTTGTAGATTCTTAGTAATACAAGACTTCATCGCCCCCAGTCTTTTCTGCCCAAAGAACATCTGAGTGAATCTTCAAGCGCTTCAAAAACCATGAAAAACGGATTAATCCAACGAAAACTGCACAGAAAGAAAACAGGACAAAGGTTGCTTTAAACTTATATAATCTTATATATTTAATTGTATATAATACTCAATGGTGATTATTGGCGATTGCTTCACTGGAAAGGGCCTACTACTGTCGCCTTACTATGGCGCTTTCCCGAAAAGTAAACCGAGAATTCGTGTGAAGTGAAGTGTAAATGTATGTAAATGTCATTTTGGAGCGACATGTCTACTTCATGTGTTCCGACGTGCAATCCTTGCCAACGTGCAAGGTTCATTTTTTCCCAATAGGCTATCCTAGCCTATTCCTAGGCTTTTAGTTTTAAAACGGTACTTAGCACAGGACTTACGTGAGGCCTGTTGCACACTGAACAGATCAACTCGTTGACGGTTCAAGATGGTGCAAGATGGTTCAAGTATGAAACTTTCTTCCAAGCCCCACTTGGCTGCAACCATCTGCAACCTGTCAGCTAGGCATGCGGAAGTCAGCACCTTCCGGCCAGCCCAAGCTGAAATGGCCCGGAGGCAGGGCTGAACCGGAAGCTTTTGGGAGTCCTCCAAGACATTCCAAGACAGCAAAGCAATAAGGAACACATAGGAATCATAGGAACACATTTTTTTCTAAAATGTCTCTCGATTCAAAGCTCTATCTTGCAGCAAGGAATATTAGGATCTGTCCAAGCAAGCGCCGCCGTTAGTCAATTTTGCAAGTTCAGTACTATTCAGTACTCATTGGTCTTCTGACTTTGCACTCCCTTGGTTTATGAGAAGCTTGGGTTGAACATGTTTGGGCCGCTTTCACAACGCACGCAAAGGATCACCCTTTCACCTGTGGTTGTACCGTTCACTTCATCTCCAAAAAGCAAACATGTGGCAACATGCAATAACCGCCTATCATGTTTTCGATTGTTTCCTTCTATGAACTTGATGGATGGGCACGCTCCAGTTCTTTCAATCGGCGGTAGCTTGTCATGGCTTGTCATGGCTTGTCATGGCTTGTCATGGCTTGTCATGGCTTGTCATGGCTTGTCATCTTGTAGTCGCCATATGTCGCCATGGGCAGGTCCGATTCGGACACCATCCTCCTTACCGCGGTGAGCACCAAACCGCCTTGCACTTGCCGTGAAAATTGGGCCCTGAAGCTGACTTGGCGGTGTGAGGAAAACACACGTAGTAAATCGTAGTAAAACTGTGATCTCCCGATGATCTATCTTTGTAATGGTAATTAGTCATGTGACGTTTATGATGTAGAGTTCCTGGAATAGATAAGATTAAGAACGCTTTCTGTTTTGACATGAGCTGCATTCAGAAGCTTTCAGAAGCACCTCAAGAACATATCTTCTGTTCAGGGATGTTCAGGGGTTCCTGGGACGAAATGGTGAGATGTTGCCAGCTTTCTGCAGCTTGGATAATTTTCTGAGCTAAAGCTGAGCAAGCTTTCAGTGTTGGGTTTGGCAACTTATCGGCCCACACTTTCAAGGTCCAACAAGTCCAACATCCCTCTGAATCCTATCTAAATCCTAAGCATTCCTAAATCATGGCAGTTTGTGAAGGCTTGACACGTGCTGCATGGTCAGGCTTGTGTACCCTGAACGCGGCAGTGTCCACTGGCCGCCTGACGCAGGCGGCCACTTTTCCAGATGCTTTGGGATGCATCAATGGATTATCAATGGGTTGTCATTGGACTCAGTGGATCCTCAATGAACACTGAACACTTGATGACTTTGATATGTCTGATTGTCTCGATCAGCTCATTCTTGTTCCACATTTTAGACCTTTTTAGCAAGGGAACTGCTTGGATCTCAAAGTCTTGAAGTGAAGCCATCACAGCTGACCCCACCCACTTTCCCACAGACCGGAACTGAAAGTACGACATAAATTGACAAAAGAGATAAATAGAGATAAGATACCAAAGAGATCCAAAGAGTTCGTGTGGCACAGTGGCACAGTCTCAAAAAACAATCACCGTTTGAACTTCCGCTACAAAAACGGCCAGCACTTTTGGGCTATGCCCCAACGTGTTTCGGGATGATTGACGCAACCCTCAGTTTTGGTGACACTTACAGTACTCTGTGGCTTCGTCGTCGTTGAAGGTCTAACAAGAAGATGTCCCTAGGATTCCCTTGGTCAGCTGACCTAGGGACGTTCCAGTGAAACTTCTGCGGCCAAAGTGCTGGTAAGGGAATCTGTTTTCTTTTTCTGCCACTTTATACCCTTTTGCACGTTCTGTGCACGTGCTGCGGGTATATAGATATAAACCCCAAAAAGACCTAAAGAACCCTACATAAACCCTAAATGAAATCCAACTTTAGATACCCTAAATCACCCCCAAAGAAAGCATAAAGGGACCCAAAACGAACCCTAAAGAACCCTAAAAAAACACGGGTACGGAATCCGCTCAATATTGAACGGTGTTTGCAGCCCTTTTCAATTGGGGGAAGTGTAGCCATGTGTGCGTGATATCTTATAGACGACGACACCCATGAAAGAATTTCACAGACATTGAACATCATTGAAACAGATCCATGTAAGAAGGCTTACCAGGAAAGGTTATGCGTCCTATAGAGGTTTCATTTGAGGCACTTTGGAGGCTCTCAAAAATTAAAATAGGCGAAGCATTGAAAGAGCTAATATTTGCACATTTCACCACAGAATGACATTTTGAGGTTTGTTTCCTGCAGGCATTCTATAGCATCAAAGCCAGCTCTGCTGTCAACATGGCAGTGTGGCACTGGTGGTTGCCCGTAGGATTTTGAGTAGATTGTACAATAGCCGTATGTGATGTGTTGACCACTCAATGACCAAGCTGCCAATGAAATATTTATTGTCAACTGTTATAGCAGAGCTGGCTGCTTCAAGGGGGCTGCCAAGAATCACCCCCTTCAAAAATGGCTGTTGCACATTGGAACACTGGCATGGATTGATTGAAATTGGATGAAATTCGACAATCGGACAAAAGGAACACGAACCTGCCTGAATTGAACACACTTGGGTTGTAATCACCTTCCCAGGGCAGAAAAAGGTACTGCTCAGAGATCTTTAACAACCATGGTCAAAGCTATGGACCACCGAAAACGATGAAAAGTGTACAGTGTACAGCCTAAATTTCAAATCATTGCTATAGAAGCCACGATTTCCCCCTTTTAGATGCTCTTCTATTGGAAACGCCACAGGGGTGCTTGGACGACCTGAAGAAGGTGAGTGCATTGATTGTGTCTGGAGATGCTGATAAGGCGGGCTCAAATTGCAATTCTGTGAGTGTTGTGTAAGTTTGGGATCGTATAGGCCTATTCTCCAAACAGTGTGTTCACACTTGGGTCTTACGGGGAGTGTTCAGGCTGGGTATGATTCTGGACTCGTGCATCCGTGTCCGGCTAATTTGGTGACCACAGCACAAAAGTTCCTCGATAATCCATTTTCTTGCAGAGCTCTCTTGCGGAGGTGCCTTCTTGCCTGCATGCCGCGTCTGTTTTCGGAAATATGCGCGTTTTGGTGGCCGGCGTGGGGTTTCCAGGGCATTTTGAGGTCTGGAGCGTCGTTTTGCCTGACAGGGAAGACTTTCGACGCTTTTCATCCGAGTGGCAGGTGTGGCACTTTCTGCATCTTGCTAAAACGTTGGCGGGGGTCGATATTGGAGGTGGTTTCGAAGGTCATTTACTGTTGCGGGCGCAGTATTTGGTGAACTTGGACGACGCTTTGTATATTCGAAAGTCCTGTTTTGTGAAACTGTCATAAACTGTCATCATTTTTGATTTGGTACATGATGAATGATGCCGCGTAGCAGGCGCAGTACTTCGGATGCCTCAGGCTCATTTTTCGTGGCAGCAGTACTTGTAGACCTCAGTAAAAAAGTGCTCAAACTCCAAGTGAAACATCGCTTTGCAGATTTGCATTGCAGTGTTCATTTTCCTTATTTTTCCTTGGTGCGAGCAGTATTTGGTGAAATTCTAGAATGTGCTCGCGCAACCCTCGCGTCACTTTGTGCGCCTTGGACGGCTCTCGTTGTGGCGCGGCGCGAAAACCAGCTGTTTCTCGGAGGTCCTGCCAAAGAATCCAAAGAGATCTTATGACTTCTGAGGTCCTTCATAGACGATCTTGCGAGAGTTTTATAGTGCGCTCTTAGAAGTCCCTACATGACATGAAGATCTTGACTATCTTGACCAACGTCTTGTCGGGTTCCTTGTGAGAAGGTCGTGTAAAGATCCTGGTGAAATCCTCGGAAAGGTCGTTGCATGATCTTGTAGAGGCAGAGGTCTGTCCTTGTGAAAAGATTTTGTGGAGTTCCTAGTGAAATGCTGTCAGAGGTTCTTGCATGAAGGTCTTGAAGATGCTCCGTGTTAGAGGTGCTTGTATGAAAACGCTTGTTGATGCTCTTTTAGAGGGCTCCACAACCCTATATCACTATTCTAAGATCTTCCAGAGGGTCCTTCTTTGGCGATCTTGTCAGATTCTCTTTGAGGTCCTGGTATGAGCATCTTGTAAGGGTTCTTGTCAGGAGTTTTTGACAGTACATGTTCTCCTCAGCACTGTTTGGGGTTCTTTTGCCGGGTTAATAATTTTCAACCATGTTGAATGAGTTTGATATGTATCCTGTATCCACTGTCTATCCAACATCTGTTCATGGATTTTAGGTGCCCATGTGGTGCGCAATACAAAAGTCGATGATTGAACATCGGAGCCCGGAGTTGGCATTGCTAGAATTTAATGCAGTGAGAGAATAATTCGGAGCAAATTCCAGTGGGTTCAGCTCCACTTTCCAAATTTCCGATGGATCCAGTGATTTTTGTCCCGTTTGTTCTCGTTGAATTTCAGGTTGTACCACCTGCGGCTTCAAGCCATCTGCATGAGGCAGAGCCGCTTGGGCGTTACACACGTGGCTGTCACACAAAAAGGCGTTGCCTTGTTACGAACACGGTGCATTAGATCAATCCATTGACAACAATAGATTCGCACGATGGGAAACAGAGAGAGATGCAAACAGTTGCAACAGAATTCGCAGAAATCACCGGAAGCAAGAAGGAAACCTACATGACATCCTTGGCGGCTTGTGTCTGACTGCCTAAGATGGTTGGTAAGGCGTTGCAAACTGTGATTGACTCGACTGTGATTAGTTTGGAGTGCAGGAAATAGTTTTGTAAGCAGCATGGTGAACCCGGTGAATGGAAGGGCTGATGACACACATCATTTTGCCATGTACTTTCTTCTGGTACGAGTTTCACATTGTGTTTCACATAGTTTCACAGTTTCACATCGTATCACCGTGTCCTGCAGTAGTCGGGTTCAGCAGGTGCTGAAGGAGACTTGTCCTGCTGTGCGACATCTGAGCCTTCCCGGTGGAACCCACGATTTGTTCCAGTACAAGGACATTTGATGGACAGTCGTTACGATATGTTACTGTTACGATATTACACCAGCCGTTCGCAGAAACAACGAGTACCAAAGAGCCTCAAAGTGTTTTGAAAGTTCCTTTGAGCAAATATAGTTTTCACATGTTTTCACATGTTTTCACATGTTTTCACAGAATTTGGCAAAGTCTGCATTGACACGTCAAGCCATTGACTTGCGCCCGTGCCCTTGCAAGAATGCAGAGGTGAATATGCACTTCCATACTCATCACAAGCTTCACCTGTTCCTTTCATGTGGTACTGAAGACTGCTGGGTTTTCAAAAAAATGATGAGGGATAAACGTCGTTCCAGGATTGGCTGGTGAGTGAGCTCACGAACTTTATTTGCCAACTTCTGAAGTACCGAGCCGCTCCAGCAAAGCGAACTGAGCGATGGCCTTAGCAGCCTTAGCATGATGGACTTCTCAAGTTCGCATTCCAAGAGTCTTCCGGACGAAAGGATCCGAAAGGATCCGAAAGGCAGCTTTTGGGCCTTCTTATGCCTTTCTTACGCCTTCTTATTGATTTCAGCAGGTGCCATCCGTCTACACTCTTTTCAAGGGCTACAGGCTAAATCTGTTTGTGGCATCCACACCGTTTTTGGCATCGTTTGTTCAAAGTTGTATGTATTGCATCTAATCTGATTTCTGCTGTGGTTGCTTCCCGATGACAACTGCCTACACCTGTTCGCTCTGGTTTGTGGGATAGGTGCATCTGTGTTGAGTTCGAGTTGAATCCTTGCTGGGCTACCTTGAGCCTATGTTAACCCTTTGCTAATCCTGTATTGCGCCAGTGTTGGGCCCCTGTTGAGTCTATGTGCCCGATGTTATGGCAACCAGGAGGCTGAGCACAGTTTGGTCCTGCTTGAACACCTTTTAGGCCTTGCGGAGCCCGATCGACGCCTTCGGTGCCGGCGGATTTTCGTGTATCTTATCCGCTTTATCCAAGCTATCGATCTACCTATCCATCTATCTATCCATCAAATCAAAGCTGATTTGATCTCATCTCGTTTAATCCAATCAATCTGATAAATCTAGCCTATCCCCCAGTTCTATAAGGGCACCATATTTGAGGGAATTGTGCACCGAGATTGCCTAGTCTGGGGCACCCACTTGATCCCATAACCTAATCAAATCAAATCTGATCTAATCTAGCCGAACCTGATCTAATGGAAGCATATGGAAGCTAGTTTAATCAAACTGAATCAAAAATAATTTAATCTACTGTAATCCAGTCTATCTAGTCCATCTTAATCTATCTACTTTATCGAAGCTAACCTACCTACCGACCTATGAACCTATGCATCTATGTATCTGTCTATCTTTCTATCTATCTACCTGCGTATATATGTATCTATCCATCCATCCAGTAACCGTATCTTGTCTTATCTTCTCTCATCTTAATCGAATCTAATCTAATCCAATCCAATCCAATCTATCTATCTGTCAATCAGAGGCATTGTGTGTTCGTGCGCAATATTGGAAATAGTTGATGGTATAGGCCTTCATATGGCGTGGTTTCGGCACTCGACACCTTGCAACAAGAACGTCTAGAAGGAAGTGGCTACACAACTGTTTGAAACATGTAAATTAATTTCATTTTTTTGGTTCAGATTCATTTGATACCCCACAGCTTGTCCACTTGACACAAGCTGAGGCCGCAGCCCCAGATTCCGGCATCGCCAACTGTTCAGTGAGCAATGTGCCTTGGCAGTGCATAGCAATGTTTGATGTTGCAGGATTTGTGTCGAGATTCATTCGCTTGAATTAATGAAGTTGAATGAAATTGAAATGTATTGTTTCTTCTGAATCGCAAGGTTTCACGACTTGAACTTTGCTCTGAAGATGGTAAATGGATGTAAATGGTGTTGGTCGATCTCATCACGCGTCAGACGACATCAAATAACATCAAATCACGAGTGCTACTAGGCTCTCAAGAGTTGCGGGTTTAGCAGAGTGTTCTTCGAACAATTTGTGTGAAACCCGTTTGAACCCACTTTTTGTCGCTGACTGCAATATTTCTAGTTCAAGCTGGGTTATTCTGTGTGCTAAGTGCAGGCAAGCTGATCCAGCTGAAAACGACACTTAGTGCCTAGGTTGTTCTGGTGTTGAGGCCTTAAACATCGAGCTAAGTGCTCAATGGGCAATTCCGGCGCTGAGAAAGGCGGCTAACGAACAAGTAGTTGCTTCCACTCGCACTGTTCGTGCGCTGCGATTGTTGGGCATTGGATTATAAGGCGCGCTGGGGATTCGCGTGCTGCCCTTCTTAGATCCACGTCGCGTGCTGTGGTAGCAACTGCAGGTTCCAGGGCCTCTAGTCGGGCTGCGGAACTCCCTGTGCCTCCACCTCCTCCAAAGAAGGAGCAGGAGGAAAGCTCAGAAGGAGAGGAAAGTGAAAGCGAGGAGATCAGAGAGACTGATCCCCCTGGAGATCCGGCAAGAAGGCCACCAGACCCTGCTGCTCCACCAGCCAGAGCAGACCATAGCAGAGACAGGAGTAGGCGAGAAAGACGGAGAAGTCGAGACAGCAGAAGGCGAGAAGGTGACAAGCATAGAAGCAGCAAAAAGAAGAGACGAGGGGTCCGAGGAGGACGCAATCATTCTCGGCTCCTATAGAGTGCTGGACCAGGTACTGACTTTGGAGACTTCAAGGTCTTACGCTCAAGGTCGCTGGCCGTGACGATGGACGATTGGTTAGTCTTTCCTATCGATATCGACCGGAGGACCCAGTGTCATGGGAGAATTTTATGCCTCATCGAGATCAGGCCTTAGAGATACCCTTGCAAACCACCGATTATGGGACGGACGAGGACATCTCTGCCAGCTTCTCCCTCCCATCAGTTGTTTTCCGAGGTGAAGAGCTTAGGGTGCGCAGATCCGGCAATCACCAAAGACTTGTCATCTCGGTTCAACAGAAAAGAAGGGGTGCCTTGATTTTTGCGCAAGTTGGCCATGCCTGGAGGCAGAGTCACATCACCAAGGCAACTGTGCATGGAGTGGAGGATTTTCACAGGCCGTACATTACAACAACAATGGCCAAGCAGCTTGCAAAGTGGAGGAAGGAAGATTTAGAGGGGCCCCAGGCAAAGGAAGATCAAGAGACAGAAGAACCAGAAGGCTTAGAGAAAGAACCCATGTGCAGATCAGTGCTGCCCCCTCGGCAAAGGTGAAGGAGAGTGCTCGAAGAAGCGAGCCATTGCGCGCAGACGGAGAGCTTATGCAAAGATTGCAGAACTACGAGACAGTCGAGGGGCGATGCCTCATCTGGCGCTGGCCTTATTGCCGAGCTGCCGGATGGGGAGGCCCCTGAGAAAGGAGAGTCGCCGCAATATTCTCCGTGCTTGGGAGAGGATGGCCTGATGATCGGGCAGGGCTAGGGAAGAGAGCCGCTGGCAACCTGGATGGGTCAGACCGCCGAGACAAAGACAAAGCAACAACGCAGAAGGAGGACAGAAGAAAGAGAAATAAGAGCGAACCCAGTTCTCGGCTGGGGGCCATACAAGATGGCACTACAGGAAGCTTGCAGGATCAGTTAGTTCTCAAGGCAGCGGAGGCAGCCGAGGAGAGACGTCAGAAGAAGAAAGAGGAGAAGAAGAGAAGCAAGAAAGACCCGGGCCGAGAGTTACTCAAGATTCTTACGACTCAATTGAGTTCACACAAGAAACACAAGATGAAAGACAAGAAGGAAGAGAAAGAGAAAGAGAAACGCGAGAAGAGGAGACCTGGGGACAGCACTTGGGGGGAGCTCCCCGGCTTCGAGTGGAGGACAAGGTTGCATTGGGTCTGCAGAGGAGGAGAGTTCAAGCATCAGTGGACCTTCCTCTCAAAAGAAAGTGGAGGGAGAGACCAGGATCAGTGCTTCAGATGCTGGTGGATCATGCCAGGAATCAGAGAGGCAAGAAGGGCAAATCAAAAGGAAAGATGAAGGGCAGTTGGGGCAAGTCCCAACAAAACTACTGATCTTTTCTGAGGCCTGCCGTTGCAGGGCCAACATGAAATTTCCCCTTGACGTGCAGGATTCTGGTTTTGGGCGCGCAGTTTGGGCAATGCAAATGCAAACTCCAAAATCACGTGCTCAACAAGCTGGATACGCATTGAACTTGCAAAAGGAAAGAATATGTCTTTAAGCGAAGATGCTTGCTGCATCTTCAGCCGAATGTGCGCAAAAAAACGTTTGGTACCCTTTTGGTCGGATATGGATTGCAGGGGCACAGTCCGCTACGAATTGCATGTGTCGGTTTTTTCCGAGGTCCTGCAGGCTTGGGCAGCTCAGGCCGGGACGTCCCACTGTAAATTTGAATTGTTGAGAGAAGGGGGCTTCTTAATTAATTCAGACGTCACAAGAAAAACATGGGTTCGGTTTGCTTAGGAAGCTGCCGCTGTCAATACACAAAAAGCAGTTCCCGCATGCATAGTGCACCTTGGGAAGCGAGTTTTGCGTGCGAAATCAGCCACACAGGTCCGACTGTACTTGTATTTGTGGTTTGCTGGCTTGCAGTGTTAGCAGCTGTTGGGGTTGCGTAGGCCGCGCCCGCTGAAGCTGTTCCAAACCAACTTTTCAGACCCGAAAAGGTTAACTTTTTTCTGAAGGTTTGCACAACGTTCAAGTCGGGACGTCCCAGGTTGAAAAAGCGATTTGCGCCTGCGGTCCTGTCTTTTGACATTCTGGGAGGGCCAGCTGTTGACCCTGCCATGGCCTTCTTCTGCCAGCGTAGCGCCGAAAGGTATACTAAGTATAGCCTGGCCAATCTAAATGCGAAAGGGTAGCCAGGGAAATGCCTTAGTCGAGCCGACCTATAGAGCGCATTTGCATCCGGAAACTTACAAACCTGCAGGACTTAGGAAGAAACTGACAAATGCCGTTCCTAGCGGAACATACCCCTGCAATCCAAATCCATGCGGAAACAGCAAATTTTGCTGAAGATCCAGCAGTCGCCAGCAGGCACCTTCGCTTAAAGAAATGTTCTTTCTGCAAACTCAACGATTACCAAATTTTTGAGGTTTTGGTTTTCGGAACTTGCGTTTAAACTTGGCTAGAGAATTTCACATGGTCATTTGAAATCAGTTTTCAGCGACATGAAAATTATGACATCATGTTGTTGGCCCCGCAGCGGCCCTCCTAAGAAAAGATCAGACGAAGGAGGAGGAGGAGGAGGAAATTCGGGGAAGACCTGACAGAAGGTGCCAGAGAAATAGATGAAGAGGCAGTGGCCTGGTCGCTGGCTGAAGCCGTGCTAGACCCAAGCCAATGCTGCTGGGGAAGCGAGCAATCCGGCATTACCTCAATGAAAAAGGCCATCGGAGGCTGTCAGTCCTTCAGCCACATTGGCTGTAGGCTCTGCTGGCTGTCAGGCAGCAGAAAAAATGTTGGCAGGAGGCTGGAGTAGTTTCTTCTGCAAAGAAGAGAGTTTCTGGTGAGGAGCTGGTAACTATTGGGAGCTGAAATTGACGGGTGCCGGGGCACCTTGGGAATTGCAGCTGATAAATTGACCAAGCGTTGCGTTGTCACTTTTTGCTTGCTGGTGCAGTTCCAGAAAAAGCTGAATCAAAAATTTGCACAAGTCATTACAGGACGTTGGGCTTTTGTTCTACAATTCAGGCGTCCAGGTATGAGCATTCTCCAACATACTTGGAAGTTCATTGGAGGGGCAGAAGCTGTTACTTCGAAGCTGATACGCCTAGCAAGAGGCGAGTTGTTAAGTCTGGTTTGTTCAGAGCCACTTCTTCATACCAACCTGAGAGCAAGCATTCGCAACATTGTGGTGGCAACTGACGCTTCAGAGACAGGTGGCGCAGTTAGTTGGAGTGGCTGAAACGCTTACGGCCGAAGGAGCCGACTTCGTGCAGAGTGAGCAACAGCAGGGAGATAATGAGTGCAGGGTAATACCGGTGCTTATTAAGAGAGATATATATATATATCCTATTCAACGTTATTGGAGGTTGTTTCCGGGCTTATGACATGGCAGGCGTTTGTCCAATGGGAAGAAATGCAGCAGAGCTCAACGATGCAGCAAATCGCATTTGCAGCCGCAGGTGGCCAGGGTTGGAAATCATCAAAGATGGTAGGGATATCACTAGAGCTGTGGTAAAAAGATGGAGCTTGCAATATACAAGAATCAGGGAAATCCATCTTTGGGGCAGTTTTCCATGCGAAGACTTGAGCAGGGTGAAGCATCAGCGAGCAAATTTGGAAGGCACTCAAAGCAGTCTTTTCTGCGAAATCCGTCGCATTGCCAATTTGCTGAAAGAGGAGTTTGGTGATTTGGTAGAGAAAAAGCAGGTTCTGGAAAATGTACCATCAATGGATAGGTCTTCCGCTGAACAGATTTCTGAAGCTATTGGAGCATAGCCTTATATGTTAGACTGCGTTGGGGCCCTGCCGACTGCCGATGCGTAGACCGTTTTTGCTGGACTCATGAGCGCTTAGAGGGACTCATGCCTGATGTTACTATTGAGACAAAAGCCTATTGGAATGAAGTTGCTGCCACACAAGAATATCCGCAGCTGACACAATGTGATGAGGGTTTTCAATGGTTAGGAGGTATGGAAGGTCAGGTTCTTCCGACGGCTATGAAGAGCATCCCGAGACCAGTGCCTCCGCCAAAGCCAGCAGGACTACTAGAAAAAGTGGACTGGGGCACAAAGCAGCGCTGGGAAGAAGACAGTTTTCGACATCCCCCCTTATCAGTATCAGCAA